GGATGATAGTTTTTGCTTTCAACACTTTGAATATATCATCCCATTGCCTTCTGGCCTCCATGGCTTCTGAGATGAAATCAACATTCAGTCTTATTGGGGCTCCCTTGTGCGTGATGGTTTGCTTTTCTCTTGCTTATTTCAAAATTCTCTTTTTATCTTTGGTTTTTCATAGTTGATTATAATTTGTCTCAGCACAAATCTTCTTGGGTTTATCCTACTTGAAGTTTGTTAAGCTTCATGTACGTGCAAACCATATTTTTTGTCAGATTGGAAGGGTTCCAATCATTATGTCTTCAAATATTCTTCATGCTCCTTTATCTTTCTCCTCTCCTTATGGGACTCCCATAATGCATATATTGATCTGTTTAATGGTGTCCCAAGTTCTCTTATGCTCTGTTCATTTTTCTTTAATCTTTTTTTTTCTGTTCCTTACACTGGATCATTTCATTTGTCCTATCTTCAAGATTTTAATAATTGGAATGTGGAATGTATGATGTATGAATCTAGGAAAATCGGAATTCAACAAAAATGAAATGGAATGCATATAGATTGATATCCTAGGCATTAGTGGACTGAAATGGACTGGTATTGGCCATTTTGAATTGGACAATCATATGGTCTACTATGCTGGGAATGATAAATTGAATAGGAATGGTGTTGCATTTAACATCAAAAAGGACATTTCAAGATCTATCCTTGAAGTACAACACTGTCAGTGATAATATCTACATGCCTACAAGAAAGACCAGTTAATATGACTATTATTCAAATTTATGCACCAACCACTAAGGCCAAAGATGAAGAAATTGAAGATTTCTGACAAATTCTGCAGTCTGAAATTGATCTAACATGCAATCAAGATGCATTGATAATTACTGGTGATTGGAATGCAAATATTGGAAATGAAGGATTGGTAGTTGGAAAATACGGTCTTGGTGACAGAAATGATGCTGGAGATCACGATAGAATTTTGCTATACCAACGATTTCTTCATTGCAAATACTTTTTTTCACCAACATAAATGGTGACTATACACAGGGACCTCACTGGATGGAATACACATGAATCAAATTGACTACATCTGTGGAAAGAGACGATGGAGAAGTTCAATATAATCAGTGAGAACAAGGCCAGGGGCCAACTGTGGAACACAACATCAATTGCTCATATGCAAGTTCAAGTTGGAGCTAAAGAAAATTAGAGCAAATCCGCGAAAGCCAAAATACGACCTTGAATATATGCCACCTGAATTTAGAGACCATCTCAGGAATAGATTTGACACATTAAACACTAATGACCGAAGACCAGACGAGTTGTGAAATGACATCAAGGACATCATACATGAAGAAAGGTAGAGGTCGTTAAAAAGACAGGGAAAAAAAAAAAAGACCAAAATGTATGCCAGAAGAGACTCTGAAACTTGCTCTTGAATGTAGAGTAGCTAAAGTGAACAGAAAATGATGAAGTAAAGGAGCTGAACAGAAGATTTCAAAGAGGCGCTCAAGAAGACAAAGTAAAGTATTGTAATGATATGTGTAAAGACCTGGAGTTAGGAAACCAAAAGGGAAGAACACGCTTGGTATTTCTGAAGCTGAAAGAACTGAAGAAAAAATTCAAGCTTCAAGTTGAAATATTAAAGGATTCTATGGGCAAAATGTTGAACAATGCAGGAAGCATCAAAAGAAGATGGAAAGAATACACAGAGTCACTGCACCAAAAAGAATTGGTCAACGTTTAACCATTTCAGGAGGTAGGATATGATCAAGAACCAATGGTACTGAAGGAAGGAGTTCAAGCTGCACTGAAGGCATTGGCAAAAAAGAAGGCTCCAGGAATTGACTGAATACCAATTGAGATGTTTCAACAAATGGATGCAGTGCTGGAGGTGGTCACTCATCTATGCCAAGAAATTTGGAGGACAGCTACCTGGCCATCCGACTGTAAGAGATCCACATTTGTGCCCATTCCAAAGAAAGATGATCCAACATATTGCAGAAATTATCAAACAATATCATAAATATCACACATGTAGAATTTTGCTGAAGATCATTCAAAAACGGTTGCAGCAATACATTGACAGGGAACTGCCAGAAATTCAAGCTGGAGTCAGAAGAGAACGTAGAACCAGGGACATCACTGCTGATGTCAGATGGATCCTGGCTGAAAGCATAGAATACCAGAAAGATGTGTACCTGTGTTTTATTGACTATGCAAAGGCATTCAACTGTGTGGATCATAACAAATTATGGTTAACATTGTGAAGAATGGAAATTCCAGAACACTTAATTGTGCTCATGTGGAACCTGTACATAGACCAAGAAGGAGTCGTCTGAACAGAACAAGGGGACACTGGGTGGTTTAAAGTCAAGAAAGGTGTGCATCAGGGTTGTATCCACAATCCAAACATAATGTTCTCATAGGACAGTATCCCAAGCAAGAAGGTAGAGGGTAGCGGACAAAAAGACAAAAAGCATTGCTTCTCTAGTTTTTATTGCTTTTATCAGAGAGTAGTTTTTCCCAGAAAGTATCAGTTGACTTTCCATTACATCCCCTTGGCCCAAACTTGGCCAATGACCATTTCCAGACCAGTTCATGATAAGGGGAATGGGATTACCATGCTTAATTTAGGTCGATTATGATTCATCTCTTTGGGCTAGGAGATAGGCCTCCCTTCTCTGAGAACTTAACTCTGGCCCAATACCCAATCAAATCAGGTTTCTGTTAGCATGGAAGGTGGTGGGTTGGGAATGACTTCAGTAGGTGACAGTGACTACAATAAATGACTTCCTAATGCTCTTAGATTAAAAACCAAATCTTTAACATGGTTATTAGGTTAAAGGATTTGGTTCCTGCTTACCTTGCCTCAACAGCATAATTTCAGGCCTCTCTTTCCCTCGCTGTATTTTCCAGCAACATTGGGCTTTTTGTGCTGTCTCAAGCTCCTTCCCACCTTAGGATGTTTACTTCTGTGCTGCTTCTTGGCTAACTAGTATTCATCCTTCGGATCTGTAATGGATAAAGCTTGCTGATCTTTCTGAGCTTCAATGTTCTCATATGTAAAACAGATAATAATAGCACCTACTTCACAAAGCTATTTTGAGGAGTAAATGAGTAATGTATGTTCAGCCCTTAGCATAGTGTCTGGCATACAGTAGGTGCTCAATACAGTAATCGGCAACTATTAAGTCCAGGCTGTCAGAGTGTGTCATTGATTGAATTTTGTCCCCAAAAAATATGTGTCAACTTGGTTAGGCCATGATTCCCAGTACTGTGTGGTTGTCTTCCATTTTGTGATTTTCCTATATGCTATAAATCATAATCTCTGCCTGCGGTTAAAGAGGATTAGGGTGAGATGTAACACCCTTGCTCAGGTTGCATCCCTGATCCAACATAAAGGGAGTTCCCTTGGGGTGTGGCCTGCACCAGCTTTTATCTTACAAGAGATAAAAGGAAAGAGAAGCAAGCAGAGAGTTGGGGAACCTCATACCACCAAGAAAGCAGCTCCAGGAGCAGAGTGCATCCTTTTGACCTGAGGTTCCTGTGTGGAGACGCTCCTAGATCAAGGGAAGATTGATGACAAGGACCTTCCTCCAGAGCTGACAGAGAGAGAAAGCCTTCCCGTGGAGATGACACCCTGAATTTGGACTTCTAGCCTACAGACTGTGAGAGAATAAATTTCTCTTTGTTAAAGCCATCCACTTGTGGTATTCCTGTTATAGCAGCACTAGATGCCTAAGACAGAGTGCATGCTTGCTTTGCTTTCCCTGCTGATGCCGTTGGTTGCTATTCTCTCTTATTCAAAAGTAATTTCTTCTAACTACCACAAGAACCCAGGAGGAATGAAATAAGTGCCAAATGGTAGTATATGCAGAGCTGATCATGGAGACCAGGAAGTCCATGTGGGCCTCAAAAGTAGACTCATTTGGAAGTAACTCCAAAGAATTATTTGCCAATGAGATTTCCCATAAGATACAGTGACAGGTTAAAAGAAACTTATGTTTATCTTATAATTTAAAACTCATATCTCATATCAGTGTACTCCCTGGTGGCACAGTGTTTAAGAGCTCGCCTCCCAACCAAAAAGTCAGCAGTTGGAATCCACTAGCCGCTCCTTGGAAACCCTATGGGGCAGTTCTATTCTGTCCTATAGGGTCGCTATGAGTTGGAACTGACTCCACGGCACACAACAATAACAACAACATGAATTAATATTTTCCTACAGAAGGAAGTATAGTGGTAAAGTGTATGAACTCTTAATGTGGACTGCTTAAGTTTGAATCTACCACTTACAAGCCGAGACCCTGAACAAATCATTAAACCTCTTTTGTACGTCAGTTATCTCATCTGTAAAACGAGGATGACAGTATCCACTTCTGAGTTTTATGAGCATTAGCTAATCTAGGAAAGATATGTTTCCTATTAACATTGATTCTGTTGTAACTAGAGCAATTATATAGCATTTTTTTATTCAAAAAGGGTGGGGGCAAAGGGGACCTGGGCCTTTCCTGACTTTTGCGAGGTCCCGACTATTAAATAAGGTCACGTAGCAGCGCAACAGAAGAAAGAATTTCATCTGGGGAGCCCGGAAACCAAGGAAGTTGTGCAAAAGGAGGTGACATTTGCATTAATCCTGGTAGGGCTGCTGGAATTCCATGGGGTAGGGGGTAGCGCTTTTCCCAAGGCGATTGTGAGCTTCTCTTTCCGCACTGACAGTCATCTGGCGCGGCGCTGCAGCTGTCTAGACGCTGCTCGGGGGAACAGCGCTGCAGCAGCGGCCTCCGGCTTCGCACACTCTTTCCACATCCGCTCCAGCCCCACCCTGTTCCTGTCCCGTCCACCTGCAGGTCAGGAAGCTCCGCCTCCCCGCTCCTGCCCCTAGTCTCGAAGGTTCCTCCCCACCCCCAGCTCGCTGCGTGCCGGACGTGACAACTGGAAGCCGCACGTCTCTCCTGCCCCATCCCAGACAGACAACTCCTTAGAGCAATCGCAGGGCTCCAGCCCCTTTGGGCCCCGTCCAATGGCGGCTGCTCTTCTCCCCGCGCACTGCGCGATGGGCCAGGAAAGGGCGGAGCGGAAGGAGGAGCGTGGAGAAGCCCCCTGGTCCTGGCCTGCGCGCTGCGTTCGATTTTCCAGACGCGTGCTCAGCACACCTCAACTATCGCGGTTGCTGTTCGCTGCCGCTGTGTGATTCCCGAGCCACTCGCCTCCGCTGTATTGCCAAGATGTCTCTTTCTAACAAGCTTACTCTGGACAAGCTGGACGTGAAAGGGAAACGGGTGGTCATGAGGTAATTATACATGTTTTCCTGCCTTCCGGGCCGGGGAGAGTTGGCTGCCCACCTGCTCGAAGTTGCTTTAGTCCCCGCTCGGCCCTAGGGGTCTTAGGCTTGCAGGGCGAGGCTGTCCTCTGTTGTGGCTGAAGCTGGGCCAGGGTTTGATTGTGTCTTTACCGCATTTCCACCAGCCCAGAAAGTGAGGCACAGTCGCCCTTTGGGGATGGATCACACGGAGGAAGGGCCCAGATTGTCGGAACCCATTTTGCCCTCTTTCCTATTCCTGAAATGCACGTCCGTCGCCTCCAGCTCCCAGACGGCGAGATGGGACCTAATAGTTATCTTACAAATCCCTAGGCCTAAGGAAGGGACCTTGAGAGGTCATTTAGTTAATTTCCCTTCCCCCACTGCCCTAGATCATCCCAGAGGAATGAGAAACGGCCCACATTTCGCAGGTTCCTTCTCAAAAGGAAATCTTCCCCAGAGGATAGGATGTTGATTTAAATGTTCAAGATTGAACCTTCCTAAAGAGTAGGTCGCTATGAGTCGGAATCGACTCCAGGGCTACGGGTTTGGTTTTTGGTTAAAGAGTTGGGGGCGGGAGGGTGAGGTGGGGCAGAACGCAGCAGAGCAGGCCCTGCAGAGCTTATGTAACAGGCCTCTGCTGCTGTACCATGTCGTTGGGTTCCAGGCCATGGGTTTTGCATCAGGATTGTTACTCATGCTGAGTAATGGTAGAGCAAGGTGTAGCTGTTCATTTTTGCGGTCCTCCAGCCTCACCCCTAAGTCTGGCTAGAGAAGAGGGATATTAGAAGTGGGGAGGGATCCCGCATGCGCTTTGGGATCTCTTATTCAGCACATGTGGAGCCCTGCTCACTTACCAAACATGGTTTCTCCTTTATCTCCCAGAATTACTAGTAAGGGTTGTGGAACTATTACATTTATCCTTTTTGTAACATGTGGTGCATGTGTGCATGCCAGGAGCACAGTGCAGGAGGATAGTTAGGTATGTAACTGATGGACTTGATTGTTCATATAACTTGATAGGATCCATGGGTGGTGGTTTTGGGCGGCCATAAGTATTTGCCTTATAGCACTATGCAGTTTTGTCCTTTTTGGGAATTTGGTTGATTGATGGGCAGACATGTGAATGGTGTGATCCAGCTCCTTTCCCAATTTGGGCAGGTTCAAGTGAGGGCATCTTTTGAATATTAACAGGCACATAAGCTAGTAGGGGATCTTCCTTTACCCGAGCCTTAAACACATCCGGGCACTTAGTAGTTGGAGAGCTGTATGGGTACCGTAAGAGTTCATGTAGCTCTCCCCTTGCCTCTTAATTTCATTATGGCCAATTAAAAAAAAAAACAAAAACGAAACCCATCAAGCCCATTCCGAATCATAGCGACCTGTAGGACAGAGTAGAGCTGCCCCATAGGGTTTCCAAAGAGCAGCTGGTGTATTTGAACTACTGACCTTTTGGTTAGCAGCCAAGCACTTAACCACTGAATCACCAGGGCTCCATTATGGCCAATATGAGGTTGCAAATAGTCTTCTCTGCCTTCCTATGGAGATAGTTGAAAGAACCCAATAGATGAGAAACACTTGTGTCCACATTTTCCCAAATGACATGGGCCTTTGTAATCTGGACAAAGTAGGAATCACAGCCATCCTAGTATTAGATAAGGGCCCCTTGTGATCCTCAGACAACTGTGGGATTGCTATTGTTAGTTGCCATTGAGTCAGCTCTGACTCATGGTAACCTTATGTATAACAGAATGAAACGTTGCCTGGTCCTGTGCCATCTTCATGATTGTTGGTATGTTAGACCCTATGAAAAATAAAGGACAGGTGGACAGTTGTATGCAACCAGCTCTTGTTAGGTGCCGTCGAGTCAGTTCTGACTCATAACCACCCTGTAGGTTTTATTTCCTCCCATCTCCACTCTGCTCAAGGTCATGTCTGACTTAAATCCAGGTGCATGTACCAGCTGAAAGAAAAGGGATGGGGCATCATGCTGGTCATTTTCCTATACTTGCAGACTTAGGCTTTCCTTTCCCCAGGGAATCTGACTTGAGGAATTAACTGGGCTCAGGGTGGGACTGGAGGAGGTGCTTCTCTTTTCTCCCTCTGGACCTAATATCATGAAATGTCTTTCTTCCCGGGGGCTCAAAGTTTCATTCAGCACAGATTAACTCAGAGCCTTGAAATGATTGGCTAGTCCTGTTTTGATGATGGAAACTGACCTGTCCAAGATCATTGAGCTGACAAGTTAGTGGCACAGCTAGGACTAGAACTTGGGTCTCCTGGCTACCAACCAGATCCTCTGAATACTCTGACATAGTGAAATAGATCATTTTGTTTTTTTTGCTGAAGGTTGCAATCAGGAATTTTTTCCCAGTAATCTGTGGATAAATTATATTTCTGGGGGCTGAGGACAGGAAGTTACTTTGTTCCCAGATTATTAATGTGTCTCTTTTGAACAGATAGTCACATCGTATGACTACTTTTTGGAAGAGCCTAGGCAGCTTTGTGATGTCAGTGTAATTCCTTTTTGTTTCAATGCCCTTATGTGGTGGTTGTTGGTAGTGTTTAAGAAATGGGGACTCCTGAGTAGTGGCTACTTCAGTTACCTCTGTTTGTCCTGCAGAAGGGAACGCTTATGTTTGCTGATTGTCCTGGTCCCCTGGTTTGTATTGCCAAGGGAAAATTACTGATTTAATGAGGAAACTTTAGATAGCTAGAAATCTCTGGCTGGTTCCACCTCACTTATTAGGACTCCAATTGACCTTATAGGCCTTTATAGTTTATGCAAGTAAGCTTCCTGCTTATTTTTGCAATGTCATTTCCTTTCTTTCCTTCACAGGTTGCCTGCCATGCCCCTTTGCCTGCTTGTAAAACACTTCCCTTTTGCATAGTCCCCTGTTTTTTGAGGTTTTTTTTTTTTTTTAATTGAGTGTTTTCCTCTAACTTGTAACTTGTTAAGCAACAGCCTTGCTGTAGTGGAAAGAAAAACAGAGAGGCAAAACTGAAAACAGAGGGAAAAAAAAGACTCTTTAACACAGGCATGTTGTTGTTGTGTGCCATTGAGTCGATTCCGACCACAGCCACCCTATATGACACAGTAGAACTGCCCCGTAGAGTTTCCTAGGTTGTAATCTTTACAGGAGCAGATCTCCAGGTCTTTTCTTCTGTGGAGCTGCTGGTGGGTTCCAACCTCGGGCCTTTTGGTTAGCAGCCGTGTACTTAACCACTGTGCCACCAGGGCTCCTTAACACAGGCATAATATCCCAATTTTCCAGTAATGGACAGTGAAGCAATGGTGGGCACGGCTCCTTTGAGAGTTTTTAATGGAACTGGACCTGGACTCCTGAGATTTCAGGTGCTAGAGACTTAATATTCTTATTCTAACTATATCAGTTTTTTTAAACATCTTATTTTAAAATAATTGCAGATTCACAGGAGGTGGCCGAGGTAGTACTGAGAGGTACTGTGTATAGTTCACCTAGTTTTCCTTAGTGTAATATAAAATTGACATCACACAATGTGTGTGTACAGTTCTATGACATTTCATCACATTTGTAGATTTGTATAAAGACCACTGCAATCAAGATACAGAACTGTTCATCACTACAAAGATCTCCCTCAATGCTACCCCTTTATAGTCACACCCCCTCTTCCCCACTCCTATTCTCCGTCCTGCCCCTAACCCTTGATAACTACTAATCTGTTCTCCATTTCTAAAATTTTGTCATTTCAAAAATGTTATATAAATGAAATCATATACTATTTAACCTTTTGGAATTGGCATTTTTCACTCAGCCCAAGTCCCTCAAGCTTCATCCAAGTTGTTGTATATATCAATAGTTCATTTGTTTTTATTGCTGAGTAGTATTCCATGGTATGGATATACCACAGTTTGTTTAATCATTTACCCTCTGAAGAATATTTGCATTCTCTCCAGGTTTTGGCTATTACAAATAAAGTTGCTATGAACATTTGTGTACAAGTCTTGGTATAGACATTTGCTTTTATTTCTCTTGGGTAAACACTTAGTGGAATTGCTGGGTTATACGGACACTGTGTTTTCCAAAGTGGCTGCACCATTTTATATTCCACAAGCCATATATGAATGATATTTCTCTGCATCCTTGTCAGCATTTGGTGGTGCCATTATTTTTTTTTTATCCAATCTGGTAGGTGTATGTAGTGTTATCTGACTTTGTGCCTGAGACAAAGCTCAGGAGTGTTTCAGGGTAGTGGAAAAGGGAGGGGTGCAGATTTCAGACAAAGGTGGAACCTATGGGCAAGAGCAGCTCCTGTGGTGTCCTCTTCAAGGTGAAACTAAAAGCAGAGCTGTTTGAGAATCTAGGAGATGATGAGGGGAGGTAATCCAGAGAGAAATGAGAAGAGAGTACACCTTCAATTTTCTTAGTAGGCTGACGCCATGGAAGCTTGGATAGATGAGATAGATTCTTGAGTATTTCTGCCCAGACAGGTTTCTTTCTGTAAGGGTTTAGGGGTAGGGAACAGCACTGCAAGGGGTAGCTTGTGCTCACCCTCTTGCCTTTAACCCTTTTTCTGAGAGGCTACATGTGGGGAAATGACCCATGGTAATGGGATACTCTATCCTCTTTGGAATGCACTTTAAGGCTGGCAAGTACCTTGTTCAGGATATTTAAAGAAGATACTTAAAATCAGAATCAAGTGGTCTCACATCCATGATCACTTACTAAGGGAGTATTGGAAAATGCTAGAGGAAGGATGGAGCTTTATGGTCAAGGACAGCAGCAGCAATCTTTGATCTAGGTCATACCTTCCCTATACTTCTTAAGTGAGTAATGATGTTTATAGTAACGGTTGATCTTACCTTTTAAATCACAGAATAACATTTTGGAAAAGTATTAACATATGCAACGATAGCTAACACTTATATGGCACTTACCCCTGTGTGGCGTAACTGGTTAAGCGCTTGACTAATGGCGATTCGAACCCATCAGAGGCACCTTGGAAGAAATGTGTGGCACTGTGTTTCCAAAAGGTCACAGCCTTGAAAACTGTATGGAGTGCAGTTCTACTCTGACACACATGGGGTCACCATGAGTCAGAATTAACTTGATGGCAACTGGCTTTTTTTTTTTTTTTGGTGTGTGCCAGGTAATCTTCTAAGGTGGTCATGCCATCTTAATCACTTCCCTTCTAATTGTGTTTGGCAAGTGGGCAGGGTCACATGCCTCACCCTCTCCTCTGGGGCTTCTTCTTTTTTGCCTGTGTTTTGCTTTAAAGGTACTTACTGTGTGAACTTGGTACCAGACACTGGGTTTCTTCCTAGTCTCAATGCCCCAGACTTTTTCTCCAAAAAGAATATTTTCTTGGTGTGTTTTATTTTTCTAGTTAATTTTTTTCTTTTGTATGATCGTAGATTTACAAACCAAAACCAAACCAAACTCAATTGCCATCAAGTCGATTCCAACTCATAGTGACCCTATAGAACAGAGTAGAACTGCCCCATAGAGTTTCCAAGGAGCACCTGGTGGATTCGAACTGCCGACCTTTTGGTTAGCAGCCATAGCACTTAACCACTATGCCACCAGGGTAAGGACCTAGAAATAGTATCAAAGGAATCAGAATCAAGATACACTCCTTATTACCCCTTACCTTCTAGTTGCAACTGTCATGCAAGTCCCGGATAGAAATATTTTAGATGGAATTGGTTTTAGCTTTCCTGGCCTTCAGGGCTAGTTCCTGTGATTTAAGTTAGGTTTTATTGTTAATTTAAAAAAATTTTTTATTAAAGATACATATACTTCAAAGGGTACAAATCATAAGCTTAAAGATTTATTACAAAATGAACACATTTGTGTAATCATCCAAGTCAAGAAATAGAACATTGCCAGAAGCACCTTCTGGTGCCTTATTCGAGTCACTACTCCCAACCTCCTCTTCATGGATAACCACTCTCTTGACTTCTCTTAATTATTTTCAGGGTGAGTTTTGAACTTCGTACTTATTTAACTGGTTCACTAAAAGTGTCTCTCCTACTCTTTAGGGAACAGTAAGTTGATTATGGCCTGAACCTGAAACTGTTTCTTTTTTTAGGGTGGACTTTAATGTTCCTATGAAGAACAACCAGATAACAAACAACCAGAGGTAAGATCCCTGCTAAGCCATGGGCTGGGTTTAAGATATATGTGGTATTGGAGTGTAGGATTAAATGGTTTTCCTTTTTTATTGTAGAACTAACCCAATTTAAGCCATATGATCTTGGCTTTCCACCAGCCTACCATCTGATCCACTTTTCTACGATCTTATCCACTTTATGAGAATGTCAAAATTGATGTTCTAAATTTATGAGAATATAGAAATAGAAAAAATAATCATCAGAATGATTTTTTTTCTCCCCTCTGTTTTTTGAAAATTTGAAAAATTTTGGGTTATGCATTTTTAAAGAATATCAAACAAAATTTAAGGTTACCTGGCTCCCCTTGGAAAATGAAAAACTGTGCAAGGGAAAGATTTTTTAATACCAATAATTATTAAACTTACATGTAGTTTTACAAGCCCCTATTCTAGTTGGGGAGCCCTGGTGGTATAGTGGTTAAGAGCTTGGCTGCTAACCAAAAGGTTGGCAGTTGGAATCCACCAGTCAATTCTGACTCATAGCAGTTCTATAGGACAGAGTAGAACCGCCCCATAGGGTTTCCAAGGCTGTAATCTTTACGGAAGCAGACTGTCACATCTTTCTCTCATGGAGCGGCTAGTGGGTTGGAACCACCGATCTTTCACTTAGCAGCCAAGCACTTTAACCACTGTACCACCATGGATCCTTCCAACTAGAATGAAAAAGAAAAAGCCAAACCTGATGCCATCGAGTCGATTCTGATTCACAGGGACCCTGTAGGACAGGGAGAACTGCCCTATAGAGTTTCCAAGGCTCTAAATCTTCACGGAAGCAGACTGCCACATCTTTCTCCTGTGGAGCGGCAGCTGGGTTCAAACTGCCAACCTTTCAGTTAGCAGCCAAATGCTTTAACCAACCACGGTGCCATCAGGGCTCCTTACGTGTGGTTAAACCCAAAAAAAACAAACTTGTTGCTGTCGAGTCAATTCCGACTCATAGTGACCCTATAGGACAGAGTAGAACTGCCCCGTAGGGTTTCCAAGGAGTGGCTGGTAGATTCGAACCACTACGCCATCAGGGTTAGTGGCTACCATATTGAATGGTCTAGGTCTAGACCCAGAACATCTTCAGGTCTTGGCTGGAGAATAGAGCCTTGCATTCTGCCAAGCACATCTCTGCTGCACCATAGTGGCAAGGCCATTGTACAATGCAGTTCTGACCCCTCTTGATTTTCGTTATTTTCTGCAGTACACAGGAAAGATTGGAAATATGCTACATTAAGGTATTTCATGAATAAAGAGCAGAGGAACATGTCTGGGTAAATCGCTCATTTTCAGAAATTATGAAGTTGATTAACAAAATGAAGCATTAAAAATAATAGAACTTGCTGATGGGGATAGCCCTGAAAATTAATTAATTTGATTTCATTGGGCAAACTTTGTACCTGATAAGGTTTCTTCTTTATTTGAGATAATTGCATTTTTATATCTGTTAAATGGCATAAGATATTTTAGCAACATAACTGTTTTTTTTTTATCATTCCATTCTCTGCTCCAGTGTCACCTTATCAGAGAGATGTTCCCTGACAACTCTTATCTAAAATACTCCCACCACCACCACTGTCCCTAGTCATTCTCTTTCCCCTACTTTGCTTTATCTTCTCCTTAGCTCTTATCACCATCTGATATATTATGTATATATTTGTTTATTGTCTCTCCCTCCACCAGAATTTCACATCTATGAGAGCAGAGATTGTTTTGTTTATTCTTGTATTCTCAGAATTTGGGATGATGCTTGGCATAAAAGAAGTGTGTAATAAGTATCTGTTGAATAAATAAATGATTTTCTCTGTTATCAATTTTAATTTCTTATAAACTAGCAAAAACTGAAGGCTAGAAGTATATTTGTGACAAAAATTTAAAATGTTTAAAAGAAGTTTATTTTCTGATTAAACTATAATGTAATAAATGTGCTGTATTATGTAAACCAAGTTCTATAATAATTCATTTTTTTCCTAAATAAAAAAAGTGACTTAGTATCTATAATGGGTGAAGAAAAGTTACTACATATATTTCAATTTTCCACAAATTTCCTTTGATGGCTTCAAAATTTGGGAATTTTATATGTCTTCCACAGTCACATAATTGGGATGGTTTGGGGTTCTCCAAGATCATCCACATATTTAGTGATTTGCTAGAAGGATTCATGGGAACTTGGCACATAGCAGTACTCATAGCTAAGATTTATTATAGAAAAAGGATATATGGCGGGAGCAGCAAGGGAAAAAGACACAGGCAGAGTCTGGAGAAATCCATGCACAGGCTTCTGATGCTCTCTCCCTCCTGTGAGGCGAGGTAAGGCGACAAACTGAGTGCTCCTTTCTCCAGCAGTGAAAAATAACGGTGACATCTGTGTGATGTTTCTGCCCAAGGAAGCCCATTAGAAGCTCAGCTCTTGAGATGTTTATTGGGGGATAGTCATGTAGGCACTGTCTGCCTAGCAAATACTAAAATTTCAGAGTCCTAAAGGGAAGCAGGTGTTCAGCATAAATCACATTGTACAGATAGTCTAGGAACTGTGAATGGCCCTTATCAGTTACAGAACTGAGGACCACTTAGAAAGCCAAGTTCCTAGGTACCAGCTAAGGGTCAACTTTGCAAGCAGGTCCTTCTAAAGATAGCCCCAGGTCTACTATTGTAACTCTTTTCTGCACAAGGGGTAAATTCATGAGACTGTATAATCCTAAGTAAAGGATTGACAGCCTATGTAGCTTTCTCTGAATATGAGAGGACTACCACTGAGTTACTGGTAGTAGATTTGAAGGAGTTTGGAGAAGAAAAAGGGCTTTATGTCTTATAAGATTGTGAATAAAATAGTACTCACTAATTCCTGGGAGTAACCTTGCTCTATCTGCTGTCTCCTTTTGGTTGCAGGATCAAGGCTGCCACCCCAAGCATCAAATTCTGCTTGGACAATGGAGCCAAGTCAGTTGTTCTTATGAGCCACCTGGGCCGGCCTGATGGTGTCCCCATGCCTGACAAGTACTCCTTAGAAGCAGTTGCTGTAGAACTCAGATCTTTGCTGGGCAAGTAAGTGCTAGGCTCTGGTGTTGCTGGACTCTGTGACAGGAGTTGTTACTAAGTATGTTGTTAGTAGTTCTTAAGTGTCAGACTACTCAAGTCTCTCCATCTCTTGCTCTTCTCAGGGATGTTCTGTTCTTGAAGGACTGCGTGGGCCCAGAAGTGGAGAAAGCCTGTGCTGACCCAGCTTTTGGTTCTGTCATCCTACTAGAAAACCTCCGCTTTCATGTGGAGGAAGAAGGGAAGGGAAAAGACGCTTCTGGGAACAAGGTGGGACCTATGATTTTGACATTATTAGGGGTGAGACTCTGAGCCCTGGTGGCGCACTGGTTAAGAGCTATGGCTGCTAACCAAAAGGTCAGCAGTTCAAGTCCACCGGCCACTCACCGGAAACCCTGTGGGGGCGGTTCGACTCTGTCCTCTAGGGTCACTATGAGTCGGAATTGACACGATGGCAATAGTTTGTTTGTTTTTTTTTTTTTTTTTGTTAGGGGTGAGACTGATTGAAGAATAGAGGGAGCTCATTTTTTTCCTTAAAAACATTTTATTGAAAGTATGACATACGTATAAAAATGTACAAATCATAAGTGGATAGCTCAAAGAATTATCACAAAGTAAACAGATATGTAACCACCACCCAGGTCAAGGAATAGAATATTACCAGAACCCCAGAAGCCCTCCTCATGCTCAAGTGGTTTTGAAATACCTTTGAAAAATACGTGAACACCATTCACATGTAAGTGTATTTGGTGAATATGCTAAATTCTGATTGTCCGTTTGTTATACACCCGGCCTAAGAAACATGAGGACTTTTTTCTGAAAGTTAATTTTTTTCAGAGAGATAATCACATCAGAAGGGTAGGCTGTGATTCCCAAGTTCTAATAGCAAGCATTCACAGGGTGGTTGTGCGGGTGAGTGTCCGTGCTACACCAGCTGTTCCTCCAGAAGAGCCAGTTTGAGATTTTTTTTTTGTCTGTAAGTCAAAGCTAGAACAAAATTTTCTAAGCAATAGGCCCTGATGCATTATGGAATGACAGTCTGTATTCATATTTGGAAAGAGAATTAGCTTATAGCTTGATCTCGGAACTTTTATTTGTTTTGTTGTTGCTGAGAATATACACAGCAAAATATATACCAATTCAAGTTTCTACATGTACAATTCACTGAAACTGGTAACATTTTTCAAGTTGTGCAGCCATTCTCACCCTCCTTTTCTAGTTATTCCTCCCCCATTAACATAAACTCACTGCCCCCTAAGTTTCCTATCTAATCTTTCGAGTTGCTGTTGTCAATTTGATCCCATATAGATAGTTCTTAAAAGAGCATAATGCTCAAGGCAGACATTTTTTACTAGTCAAGCTAAACTATTGTTTGATTTTAAGAAGACTTCAGGGAATATTTTTGGTTTAAGGTTTAAAGATTATCTCAGGGCAGTAGTTCCAGGGGTTCATCCAGCCTCCCTGGCTCCAGAAAGTCTGAATTCCATGAGAATTTGAAATTCTGTTCTGCAGTTTCCCCATTTTGATCAAGATTCTTCTGTATAATCTTTGATCAAAATGTTCAGTAAAGGTAGCCAGGCACCATCCAGTCCTTCTGGAGGCAGTTTTTCATGGAAGCAATTAGCCACATATTCCGTTTCTTGTCCTATTTCTGACTCTTCTTCCTCTCTTCCTCCAGGTGAATAGAGACTAATTGTTTGTTGTGCCTTGGATGGCTGCTTGCATTGAGCTTGGTACTTTTAAAACAGTGAATTAAATTTGGTATATTTGGGATTTTCTTATAAAAGAATTATCTCAGCAGAAATGTACTTTCTTAAGTCAAGTGGAAAAGGACTATTTGAGATGTTGAATGTAGTTAGGTAAATGATGGTCATGATGATATTTCCTTGGTTTTAAGACTTTTTTTTTAAAAGTATAGAACATTTTCTTGTGGATCTCTCTTTGTGATAAGGAGGTATAGGTATCATCCTCATTTTATAGATAAAGAAACCAAGTCTCAGAAAGTTAGAGGTGGTGGTGCTGTTGCTGGGCCATTAGATCAGCAAACTTTTTCTGTAAAGGACCAGATAGTAAATATTTTAGGCTTTGTGGGCCATACAGTCTGTTGCAGTGGCGTATGGTCTCTGTTGGAACTTTAACTCTGTCCTTGTAGAGCAAAAGCAGCCAAAGACAATCCACAAGTTATATTACCTTGACCTGACTAGCAGAATTCAGTTATTAAATGATAAAGCTGACTCTTTGAGGATGATTTTGAATTTGCCAAATGGCTAGACGGGAAGCTGAAGACACTCTAGTACTTTCCACTTTTAAGGTCTTTAGTATCTTGGGGAGCAAGATGCTATCAGATTCTCATGTCAATTTCCTTTTGTACTTCTGACATTTCTTAAGGTCATCAGGAGTGCCTGCTTTCAAGCAGTTTCTTTTCTTAGCACAACAGGCTCTGGTCTTATTATACCTTTGGCATGGTTTTGCTACAGTAGTAGGAGTCAAATGCTGCTGATCTTAAGTGTGGTGCCCTTTTAAACTGAAACTCAAGATGCACAAACTTAAGGGATTAGAAATGGCAGGAGGCAACCAGAAAATTGAAGTAAAACCTTTTTTTCAGGAAACGATGGACTGACTTTGCTAGTCTATAACTTTTTTTTTTTTTTAAATAATATTGTGTTTTCAGTGAAGGTTTACACAGCAGTTTAGGTTCCCGTTCAACAATTTCTACACAAGTTGTTTAGTGACATGGGTTACATTCTTCACAATGTGTGAGCATTCTCATTTCTGTTCTGGTTGTTCCATTTCCATCAGTCTAGTTTCCCTGCCCCCTTACATTCTTATCTTTGGTTTAAAGTAATTGTTGACCTTTGGTCTCATATAGGTGATTCTTTTTAAAGGAGCACAGTACATATGGGTGATATTCATTATTTTGTGAGCATATCTGTTATTTACCTACAGGGTGACCTCGGGTTAGTTTTGTTTCAAGGTTTGAAGAGTATCTCAGGGCAAAAGTCTCTGGGAGTCCTTCAGTCTCAACGAGTCCAGTAGGTTTGGGTTTTTTTTTTTTTTTAGGAATTTGAGGTTCTGTTCCACATTTGTCTTCCATTCTGTCAGGGTTCATCTATTGTGGCCCTGATTGGAACAGTCTGTAGTGGTATCTGGGCACCATGTAGTTCTTCTTGTCTCAGGGTAGATGAGTCCATGAATCGTGTAGACTATATGTCCTGTAGACTAGTTTCTTCTAGTCTGTAACTTCCTAGTTAATTAACTTTATATTTAGTGCCCAGTGGCTTTTAATACCTGAAATTTCAGGAGCTAGTCATGAGTTAAAAATGGATTAAAAAAACAAAGTGAGTGCATTAAATTTTTTTTTTATTCAGAGTGCCTGTCTTGATCTTTTGGGAACATTCTCTTCCTTCTAATGATTGGCCGATCAGAAATTAGAAATGAGTTCTGGTATTATTTTTTCTATAGCACCTTTTTCATGAAGATCTTTCAATTTACCCTATTTTTCCTCAAACAGTTTTTAAATAGAGGGGTTATCATGTCTTCTTGATAGATGGGAAAATTTCAGGGACAGAGCAACTTGCCAAAGTTTACACAGTGAATTAGTCTTAGAGCTGGGCTTAGAACCCAGGCCTTGTGACATTTGGGCAGTGTTATCATTACTCAAAGTATCATCTTCCAGTCACCAGTGGCAGATGATATTCCATTCTAGAGAGATTATAGAGGCACTGGAGTCTTTAATTTTACTATTAGTGCCTCTGCATTCTTTGAGTCAGCAGAAGAAGGCTCCATTCTTTGTGGGAGCCTACTTCATCTCCTTTATACATAGGAGGATAGGAGTGGGCAGTGACTAAAGTGAACATCTGTTCGAGGCTGTGTACTCTTCTCCTGCATGTTTATTTTCTGTGCATCTTTGTTTAGTCTCCTGCCAGAGACTCTGCTCATCCTGCCATCCTGATTTTTGGAGATCCCTGGATGGCGAGCTGACATTTCAAAGCCCTATTTTCACTCCTACTTTTTTCTTTTCTCTTTTGTAAAAGTGTATTTCTTCCTTTCTCAAATGCCTAACTTCCAGAGAAGTCTATAAAATATCCCCTTTTAACCAATATAAAATGTTTCTGAGGTCCTTAAATTTAGTGGAAGCCTTTTCTGTTGTCATGTTTCCATGTGGCTTTTTGTCCCAGCCTGCCCTTGTTGCTTTTTTTGAGGAATGTGTGTGAGGACTTCTGTTTCCCCCTTGCAGAAAAGGCTTTGATAGCCAGCCACTTGTGAGCCAAGTAATACTAACTTTTTAAGGAGGATTATGTTAAAATGAGGAAATGACTCAAGATAGGGAGAGGAAGCGGTAATCACAATCTCATCCTAGGGGATAGGATAGAGGCCAAAGGGATGTGGTTAGCTTCACACCATATCCACTTTGTTTAGAGGTTAAGCCGTGGTTCAGAAATCTTAGGTTTGCAGTTTGAGCGAAGTTGAGGGAAAGCAGAAACATGCAGAAATGACCAAAAGAAGAAAGAATAGCTCTTTTTACCAGCTGTAAAAAATTGCTATCCCACCAGCTCTGGGTCTCTAGAGATATTTAAGAGGATTCTTGGTGGTATGAAATGCTTTTACAGTTGTCTTTGGAGCCAACAAATTTTCTGTGTTGCTTTTTTAAATTTTTTTTTTCCCTGCAGGTTAAAGCCGAGCCAGCCAAAATGGAAGCCTTCCGGGCTTCACTTTCCAAGCTAGGTGATATCTACGTCAATGATGCTTTTGGCACTGCTCACCGAGCCCACAGGTACCAAGAGCCTTGTCCAGTGTTGGGTGAGAGCACTATTCCTGTTGACTCAAGCAGCCTAAGCTCTGGGTTGCTTTTGGAGATTTCTGTATTATACCATGATCCTTTGGGTTTCTGTGTCTAATTGGTGCTACCACTGTGGCTCTTGTTGAGTATCCTTGATCCAAAAAGGAAATAAAAGTAAAAAATGCTGGATATTGTGGAGTTTTTCAACAAGGCATGCTAGTCTTTAGGAAGAGGGTGCTCTTTCACACTTTGGATATTTCATGTAGAGTTCTCCACTTATGAATGTTATGAGACCAGAATCTTATGCTATCAGTAGGCAGCAAATCGAAGAATCCTTTTCTGTTGTTATCAACTTTCTGAAGACTTATTACGATTAATCCTTGGCCTGCTGAAGACTATTAATTGGGTAACTTCAATTCTCCCTAAGGTCATTGCTTTTTATTTGTTTCCCTTGACTCTGCACTATTAGTCAAAAGCCTTATCTTGTACCTAAGTGTTTTTGTTGCAGTTTAGGGTGCAAACTGTTAAGCGCTTGGCTGTTAACCGAAAGGTTGGCTGTTAGAATCCACCCAGCTGCTCTGTAGGAGAAAGACCTAGTGATCTGCTTCCATAAAGATAACAGCCAAGAAAACCCTATGGCACAGTTCTACTCTGTCACAAGGGGTCGTCGCTATGAGTTGGAATTGCCTTAACGGCACCCAACAACAACAACAGGGATGAAAACCATGGTCTCATAGAGTCTCAAAAATGAAAGTATTTCAGTGATAAGGAGATGGCCTCTGGAACTGAGAGAAATGATGGGAATTGACTAGAATCTGAATGTCTTTGGTTTTTTGTAGTTCCATGGTGGGAGTGAATCTGCCACAGAAGGCTGGTGGTTTCTTGATGAAGAAGGAGCTGAATTACTTTGCCAAAGCCTTGGAGAGCCCAGAGCGACCCTTCCTGGCCATCCTGGGCGGGTATGAAAAAGTCTTTAAGATCACACTTTAAGTAGTGTGGTTGCCTGGTAGTAGGGCATAACTTGGGTGGTTTATTGTCAGCTAGTACAGTTAAACCAGGCAATTGAGGAAAATTTAATAGACTATTTGTAAAGGTATGGGAAACCAAAAAGGGATGGTGCAATAATCTGGGCTAGCAACAGCCATTATCATATCCCTGGTCCTGAAGGGACAAGGAGTGGCAGAATCCAGAAAGGGTAGTTGTGTGGAGAGGGCCCTCTGACAGGAACTGTAGCCTTTAGTTAAGGGACATAGTGATGGTCATCTGGCAGGGAAGAAGCCAGGGAAATAAATACTCTTGATCTCCCTCCAATCTCTTGTGGATTCATGTCCCACCCCCAGTTGGCTGAAACTCAACTGGAAGCCGGAGGGCAAGGGAGCCTGTTGGTATAGCCCATGCAGGTTAACCTCCTGGGACAGAGAATAGGGCAGAGAAAGATAGAAAATGGTTCTGGAAGGAAGAAGGGAAAGGATCCACCATAGATGGTCATTTGACAATTTTGAGGCACTTAAGCCTTTCACCTGCATATAATCTGGTAAGGTATAACTATGAAAACCTCCTCATATGTGTTTAAAATATCACTTCAACCTCATTTTTCCAGATCACATAGCTATTTTATATTTTCTCCTTTGGGGAAGGTACCATGTGGATGATGATATTCTGATAGTTTAGTTAAAAATAGAAATTTTCGAATTGAGGCTAGGAGGAGATAAATCTTAGGTGATGAAGTAGGGACAGAGAGCTGAGACTGCTAAAAGAGATAGATACTTCCTGTCACCTGATATGGCTATCTAGGTAACAGCCTCTTAATGGCTGGAAGTGCCTGACCCTTCTATGAGTAGGGTTCTTTTCCAGGGGACTGAACACACTCAGCATTTCCCTATGAAAGTTGACTCAGGGTTTGGGTGTCAATTTCAGGTAACAGTTGCTCTGCAGGCTTTATGAGCCCAGTTTCAGGATCCAGAAAAAAATTTGGGTGGGTACAGGTTGTTATCTGTGTCTTGCTCTTGAAAAAAGGTGTGTTCCTGAAAGATTACCTGTCTTGTGCACTGGGCTGTAAAGGTCAGACTCGGATCTTTGCTTCCCTAGAGGTTAGGATTTGAGCCCTCTGGTTTTGTTCTCCAACCTTCGGTAGGCCTGGAATATGGGAATGAGTGCCACCTAGTGGTTATGATTAGGTTTTAACCTTAATCTGAATAGCTGTTTTTGGGAAGTTGGTGTGGAGGTTTTTTGCCACTTTTCTAGATGTGTAGTCTCCCTAGCGATTAACAATTGTTTTTCTGAAAAATGTATATTTTATTAAAAAACTTTATTGTGCAAACATTCAAAGATGTACAGAAGTTGAGAGAATAGTATAATAACCCCTCAATTGCCAGTCTTGTTTCATTTTATCCCCCTACTTTTTTGTCAGGAGCATTTTGAAGCAAGCCTTAGAAATCATATAATTTCACTTAAAGTACTTCTGTATGCATCTCTTAACTGATAAGGAGATTTATTTTAAATAACATGTTACATCTAACAAAATTTAACAACATTGTGAATATTATCTGCTACCTAGTTTGTATTCAGATGTCCTCAATTATCTTGAAAATATTTTTTTTACAATTGGTTTATTTGAATCAGGATCCAGACAAAGTCCATGCATTGCATTTGGGTGTTGCCAGCCAGTTGCCGTCAAGTCAGTTCCAACTCATGGTGGCCCCATATGTGTCAGTAAAACTGTGCTCCATAATAGGGTTTTCAGTGGTTGATTTTTTCAGAAGTAGATCACCAAACCTTTCTTCTGAGGCACCTTTCGGTGTGCAAAAGGTTAACGTGCTAACCCAAAGGTTGAAGTTTCAAGTCCACCCAGAAGTGCCTTGGAAGAAGGGCCTGGCAATTTGGTTGTTAGCTATCTTTTAGTCTATAATAGTCCCTTCCTTATTATTTTTCATTCATTGATTTGTTGAAGAAATAGGCATTTGAGCTGTAGAATGCCCCATTCTTTAGAAGAGGTTCAGTATTTTTTCTCCCTTTTATTTATGTGACACATACACACACATATATATATATTTTAAATACAAATTGTCCATTTAGCCATTCTTCCTTGGTGGCAACCACTCTTTACAAGTGAAATAAGCAGTCTCTTGCCACCCATTCCCCCCACATTACTGTTATTTCATACCTCTGTTTCACAAATCCTAGCATAGGGCCTCTCACAGATTAGGCACCTTATTGTTTATTGAATGAAGAGGGAAACAGACCTAAGGTGATTTGTCCATTTAAGTGGGATTTAGATACATAGGAATATATATGTAAGGCAAGCTATTACGTATGGGAAGGATTTTAAAGGTTATGCTTCAAGTGAATTTGCTTGTTTAGTTTGAATATTTTTTCTCACAGGGAGGTGAAAGGTACATCTGTATTTATTCTTATTTCTCTCTACTAGAATATAAGCTCCAAAAGGGAGCTTTGTTTTGACCACTGCTGTTTCTTAAAGACCTAGAACAGTGCTTGGCACAGAATAAGTGCTCAATAATTGTGTTAAATTGAATGGTCCAAAAGAATAATTAATAAATGTCATAAAGCAGATGTCCCAACAACTGAACTTAGCCGTAAGGATGTGAATTTATACTAGGAATATCCGTCTATTCTAGCTCAGTGTATATTTATTTGGTATACAGCCTGATCAGTGTTCTAAGGTTAGGACGGTTCTGAGTGGGCTCAGGGATCCTGGGCACAATTAACAGTCTTGACCCTCTGAGTTATTTTTTGGGGGGTGATGCAAAATAGACCTATTGGGAACCCCTGGTTTCTTTAGAGAAGAGTAGGTTCTTCTAAGCCCTTGCTTAGAAATTTATTAGCCTTTTAGGTTGGACAAACAGAGCAGTGTCAGCCAGTATTTCTGTCAGTTTGTGGGACGTTTCTCTGTACCCGTGCCTTGATACAAATACTCAGGCCCAATATAATATGAATTCTTTAGTCCATTGTTTGTTCTTTTGATGATGATTCTCACTTTCCTTTTTAGAGCTAAAGTTGCAGACAAGATCCAGCTGATCAATAATATGCTGGACAAAGTCAATGAGATGATTATTGGTGGTGGAATGGCTTTTACCTTTCTTAAAGTGCTCAACAGCATGGAGGTAGGAAAACTGACAAGTGGATGTCAAATAGCTCTCCATGATAAATAGTAGGTTATGTAAGTCTAAAAAGAAAACCAGATTCTGATATGAGTCCCCAAAACTCCCCATACTTTTATTTATTTTGGTGGGTTCTTTTGTCTTTACATTGTCCTTTTATATTGTGTCTGGTTCCTGTCTGCTTTACGAGGCAATCATATTTTTAGTATATAGGCTCATCATCATTATCTTGACTCTTCTGTGTAGATTGGCACTTCTCTGTTTGATGAAGAAGGAGCCAAGATTGTCAAAGACCTGATGTCCAAAGCTGAGAAGAATGGTGTGAAGATTACCTTGCCTGTTGACTTTGTCACCGCTGACAAGTTTGATGAGAATGCCAAGACTGGCCAAGCCACCGTGGCCTCTGGCATACCCGCTGGCTGGATGGTGAGTCACTTTGGGTAGTTTGTAGTATGAGTGAACAGAAACTTTTTGTTACCTTAATTCAGCCAACAAGCACGTCTTTAAAAAAACAATCTCGACAGGAGATGTCTGTCAGAGAGAGCTCTAAAGTGAGGCCCTTTTTGTTGGAGCATCCATGTAGAAAAGCAGTAGGATCAGATTACTATTGTCTTCATCAGTAACATGGGGGGCAAAACCATTTTTGGTTTCTTCATCCATTTTATTAAGTACTGTGTGCTAGGGATTGTGCTAAGTTCTTTCATGGCTTGGGCTGTTCTGGATTATGTTACTACCTTGAAACGTGTGAAATCTTTTTTATATGAAAAACATTAAAATAGTAGAAGTATACTGATTATAAGCCAGGAAAAATGTATATGTGTATATTAAAAGAGTAATATGAATAGTTGATTTTAATGTTCAGCAAAACCCACATATTATCATTGTACTAGCTCTATAAAACTATCACGTTGACATACTAGTTTGCTTGTCATTTTCATTTTGCTCAGCATTTGGGTTTTCTTTAATTAAGTGGTTCTCAAAGTGTGGTTCCAAGACCAGCACCATCAGCATCATTTTGGAACTTGTTAAAATGCAAGTTCTTTGGTCCCACCCTAGACCTACTTATCAGAAACTCAGGGGGTGAGGCATAGCAGTTTGTGTTTTAACAAGCCCTCCAGGTGATTCTGATGAACTCCAAAGTTTGAGAACCACTGGTCTAGTTCAGTATTTCTAAACCTCAGCACTATAGACATCTTGAGCCAGATAGTTTTTCTTTGTGGGGGACTGTGTGTATTGTGGGATGTTTGAAGTGTCCCTGGTCACTAGACGCCCATAGCACACCAAAACTGTTTCCAGACATTGCCCCTGGGGAGGGGCAGAATTGACCCTGGCTGAAAACCACATATCTAGTTCTTCAGTGTCATAAGTAGTGTGGCTAAGAATGTCTTTCCACCACCCATCTGTCAGTTTGTAGTCTGGTGGTTTGTGGGTTGCTATAATGTTGGAAGCTATGCCACTGGTATTTCAAATACCAGCAGGGTCACCCATGGTGGACAGGTTTCAGTGGAGCGCTCAGATTAACACAGACTAGGAGGAAATGCCTGATCTACTAAAAATTAGCCAATGAAAACCCTATGGATCACAACAGAATACTGTCTGATATAGTGCTGGCAGTTGAGCCCTCCAGATTGGAAGGAACTCAAATTACACAGTGGCCACAATAATGGACTCGAGCATACCAGTGATTGTAAAGGTGGTGCAGGACTGGGCAGTGTTTTGTTCCGTTGTACGTGGGGTTGCCATGAGTCAGAGCTGACTTGACAGCAGCTAACAACAAGAATGATGTCTTTATCAAATAACTTTTGAGGTTGTGCCTTAAGACTCTTAAATTTTTTAGTCAAAGGGCATGTACTGCTTTGTAATTCTGTAAGACTGAAGAGTTTCTTTTGGTTCTAGAAAAAACTGATGTTTAGCCTTGAGTTCTGGTCTTGGTGGGGGTGGTATTTGCTCCTCTAACTAGGTTTTCTTAGTAGCTCATCCTCTCTTTTTAATTCTACCCTTAGGGCTTGGACTGTGGTCCTGAGAGCAGCAAGAAGTATGCTGAGGCTGTCGCTCGGGCTAAGCAGATTGTGTGGAACGGACCTGTGGGAGTATTTGAATGGGAAGCTTTTGCCCGGGGAACCAAAGCTCTCATGGATGAAGTGGTAAAAGCCACTTCCAGGGGCTGCATCACCATCATAGGTAAGGGGTCCTGTACAAAGCTAATATTCATGAGCTGGCAGAATTCTGATCAGGGGAAGGTAGAAAGGAAGTGGTTAACTTTTCCTGGGTTTCTTGGCTCTGGGTGAGAATCTTGAGAGCTAACAGGTATGTAATTCATGGAGCTGCCTCTTGATGGGATGGAGTTGAGTGTTTATCAGCTACCTTTTGGGCTTGAGAGCCCACTGCCACATAGTTTTGGTGCCAATTCTTTGTCTTTTTTCTTTTCTTTCCCTTTGTACCTGGCCTTCATCCAACAGGTGGTGGAGACACTGCCACTTGCTGTGCCAAATGGAACACAGAGGATAAAGTCAGCCATGTGAGCACTGGGGGTGGTGCTAGTCTGGAGCTCCTGGAAGGTGAGGTTCCTTCCCTTTTTCCTGCTTGTTAGCGGGTGGGGAGGCTGTGCAGGGAGACGTGGGTAGAATGGAGTGGAGGAAGTCAGGTAGGTGGTTTTGTCATTAGCAGTCATTAGCTGGGCAGTAAAAATGGGGACTTCAGATAAAGCTCGTGGCATCCATTTGAGGTGGGGATGGACAGATAGGAAAACTTATTCTTAAAAGAGGTAGACTTATTCTCTAGTAGACCTGGGACCCAAAATGCAAGTTTCTTAACGCCTGGCCATATACCCTAAAGAAGACCTGATACATTATTGGGAAGATAGGTGGTGGCAGATCTGGCTTGGTGGGCCCTATAGTAATGCTGTCTCTCTGTGTGTACTCTCTCAAAAACAGGTAAAGTCCTTCCTGGGGTGGCTGCTCTCAGCAGTGTTTAGTATTTTCCTGCCCTTTGGTTCCTGTGCACAGTCCTAAGTCAACTTAGTACTTTCCTTTGTATCTCCACTTGGCATTAGCTAAAATCTTCCCCCATGTCAAGATTCAGCTAGTGGCCAAGAGATGAAGCACCAGGAACCCTTAAACAGGTTCACAGCATCTCATCTTTATTGCACCCTGGATTTTCCTACATTCTTCAAGATCCCATTTGAATTCCTTAGTGGCTAACCCATTGTGCTTTCTAGTGTGCATATTTATATTCTGCCTGTTAAAAGAAAGTGAGCTGTGTTAGCTTAGTTCTTTAAGTTGCTTACTCTGATTAGCTTTGTCACTGTTTCATTATTGGCATGGAAAGAAGATGAAATTCCAGTTTTAGATAGGGATGAGGACAAAGTTGATGATTTATTAAACAATAAAATTGTCGATTTAAACTGGGATTTTTTTTCCTGTCATACTTTGTTAGGATGGGTGAGAACAGAATATTGGGGGAAGGGATCAAATAATCTACATTTCTCAATGCAAGAAATGGGGCAGCAGCAGTAGGGTGATGCAGGGGATTAGATAAATGTTTAGTCTTCATCAAGGGCCTGCTTACAGCAGACATTGTGCTGGTGCTTTATTTTAAATTTTATTTTTTATCAGTTATACATGATAATAATTTAAAAAGTCAAGGCTTTAACAAAAAATAGGCCTCAGCCCATTCCTCCTGTTTCTGATTCCCACTCCCCAGAGATGACTGCTTTTAACTGTTTTTCTCTAGTATTTACCTCTGTGTTTCTAAGTAAGATGCTAATACTGTGAACATCTCGATTTTTTAAAAGGTTATTTATTAATACCTTCCATTCCACATATACTTCCCCTTCCTCATTCTTGCAATAGTTTTGTCATAATTATAGATTAGATCAATTGTCTACATTGACTGTAAATACTATTCACAGCTGAACTATATTGTATGCTATTATATAATTTTTTATTTTCGGGTTAATTTTTTTAATTTTTTTTCTGTGTACATTATCACTAATTCTCTAATCTGCTAGAAGTATAAATGTCAATATATGAAAACATTTTAGGCAGTCTGTTTCTTTTTATTGGAGACATCCCTCCTGGAGTACTTCGTGCTCCTGCTTCAGTTTATATTGGCTGCTCTCCAGGTTTGCTGTACAGTTGTTGCTCTGGGATTTCCTGTAACTCCCTTGAGGATTCCTTTCATCTCCTGTGTTGGACTCCCTTTTTCTTGAATACCATTTTTCCCTTTTTTGTTTTACTCTCATTTTCGTGGAACACAAGATTAACCACTTCTGAGAAAGGGTGCTTGGGAGGTAAATTTTTTGAGACCCTTATACTTGATTACTAGTTTGGCTATATATAGAATTTTTGCCTGGATATCACTTTTTCACACTTGAAGGCATTGCTTCGTTGTCATTGTTAAGAATCTAATGCCATTCTGATTCTTTTACTGTCCTTGTGGTTTTTCTCTTCCAGTCTATTGCCATTTTAATGGGATTTTGGGAGAGAACAGAATAAGTGATTTCAAAGGCCATATTTAACCAGAAATTCTGTGCTGGGCATTTTACATGCAAGATATATATTTCACTATTATGAATGTGGAAACCCTGGTGGCATAGTGGTTAAGTGCTACAACTGCTAACCAAAAGGTTGGCAGTTCAAATCCACCAGGTGCTCCTTGGAAACTCTGTGGGGCAGTTCTACTCTGTCCTGTCGGGTCGCTATGAGTTGGAATTGACTCGACAAGGGTTTTTTTTGGTGTTATGAAGAAATAGTTAACTCTTGGACAAGATCACAGAGCTAGTAAGTAACAGCAGAGATTCAAGTCCAGGTTTGTCTGACTCCAAAGGCTTTTTCATTGTGCCTCGCTTCCTAAAAATGATGCTTCTAGACTAGGACTTTTTTGCTTGACTCTGGAGATAACAGCAAAAATTTTGATGGCTGTTTTAAACAAAAATTTGAAGGCTCATGTTTTCTGAAAAATGTATTTTAATACTGTACCCATATTTTTAGTTGATTTTAATGTGTTTTAACTTAGTTGAATAAAACTGACATTCTGTGTAGATGCACCATGTTTGTGCACACCTCTAAGGGTACTCTGGTTTGAGAAGCAGGAATTCTAGTCCAGTCTTTTTACATATGAGGCCCAGAGGTTCATGCTACCCATAGATCCAGCAAATTAATGTCATAGTTGAGCTAGAATTTAGGTAAACTGATGACCTCCTTTTCCCTGACTACCTTTCCCCCAACATTATGAAAAATTTCAAATGTACAGAGGCTTTGAAAAAAACTGTAAACACCCATAAACCCAGCACCTAGGCTCTACAATACCCCAAGTCATCCATGACCTTTTTTTAAAATCCCTGATTACCTTGTAAGTAGTTTCTACTAGATTCTGCTTCTAGTATCTTCCCCCATTTATTTGGGTTATTAATCCAGAGAATGAATGGGGAAATTCCAGTCATGGAACAACTTGGCAAAATAAGCCAAATATTTGAGGACCCACTATGTGCTTAGGACATGGTGAAGGGAATATAAGATACAATTTATATCCTGAAGGAATTTACAACCTAGTTGTAGAAGACAAGGTGTTCCAGACAAGGAACACTTAATGAGCATATAAACTAGAATAGTATGGGATGTTCTTCCTGATTTAATATAGCATTATGAATTGTTTATAATATTGCAAAGGCTTAAGTGGGAAATTCACTTTTAACCCCCAAACAATATATGTATGCCTATATACAGAAAAAAAAAAACCTGTTATAAATGAATCAGTCTGTTCTTTAGCTTAGTGTTTCTTGCTTTTTTTCATGTCCAAGGGGTTTGCACATGATACAAAAGTCAAAAAGGGGTATACAATGAGAAGGGTTTTTCCTACCCCTGTCCACTAGCTACCAGTTTCCCTCCCCAGAAACAACCACTGTAAAACCAGTTTCCTTCTATCTAGAGGTATTTAATGTGTATAAAAGGCATATCTGGGTGTGTGTGTATACACACCGACACAAACACATGTATTTACTGTGCATATTATACACAGTTTTGTACCTGCTGTTCTGACTGCACTGTTTCTTTCCTACCTCTTGAGTAGGACTTCCTTCTCTCTGGATTCCTTGAACCTTAGTGTACATCTTCCATTTTCCCCCCATGCTGGCTGTATTACTATATTTATGCTGTGATCAATGACACTTGTTTCCTACTTGTAAAATGAAGAACTTGCGATGAGAGTGCCCCACGTCATTCATCATCTGTACATTTTTTTTTTTAAGTTCACTTAGAAGATAGAGGACAAAAGCTGTCTTTAGTCATTCTCAGAGCTAGATTTAGTTGGAAAAATTAGGGAAGGGAGGATCTGCAAGATAAGGAGTCTTCATCTAAAAGAGCAAACCACTCACCAGCTAACCTATTAAAGGAGTGAATACTCAGACTGCAACCCTAATTGTATGCACAAATTTCCACCAAAGACAGAATATGTTATGCTTTTAATAGATTTAAACACATTTGACTCATTTTTATTTTGTTTTACTGAGTCATGCTGATTCCAGATAAAAGTAAGAAATTCCCTTAATTCATCCATTAAACAAATCTTAATTGCTTGTTGGCCCTCAGAATTACGGAATCTCTTAAAAGACAAAACTGAAAAACACTGATAATGCTCAATTTGTTATTAATAACCTTGGAACACATAATTCCTTATAGTTATACAGCAATTTACAATTCTGAAAGAACTTTCACATATACCAGCGAAACCCTCACAACATCCCTGTGAGGTAGGCAGGGTAGGTGTTATCTTCCTATTACTGCTGAGGAGAACAAGGCTTAGGTGAAGTAAGGTCACAGAGTTCGTAAAAGAAGCCAGGACTAGAGTCTAGGCCTTACATGTTGCCTCCCTGAGAACATTCAAGTAATGAAATCCTATGCCCTATACTCAACATTTCTCTCCTATTGTTTTTATAAGTTTTATAGCACGTTTCCCTAACATCTAAAAACAAACTGTGATGAGACGTGTCTACCCTTTTACTGGACTACTGCTCAGACTTATTAAATACCATCCTTAGATAAAACTTAGTTTAAGTTTTGAGGGTCCTTGGCTACAAATTCTAAATTATGAAGTAAACTATTTTAGAAAACTCTGCAAATGTATTCCTAAGTTGAACTTAAACTAAACAAAACAAGTCTGTTTATATTTCTGAAAGCTTTATAATCTTTCC